TATTTCTAGTAGATCGGTCTGTAATTAGAATGTTATCTTTAATAGTATTGATCTTGGAAGTAAAAAGTTCATAAACTCATTATTGCTGTGCTGTTGATGCTTTATTTTGTATTAATTTAGCCACTGTATTGAATAAATGCCTGGGGTTGTGTTTTTTATCTTCTAAGAGAGATGAGAAGTAAGTAGATCTAGCAGTTTTTAGAGCTTTTCTATAAGTAGCAGTACTCCCCCGCCATGCAATAAAAAATACCTCTAGTTTTGCTTTCTTCCAGCTGCGCTCTATTCTCCGGACTGCTCTCTTTAAGGTACGAGTGTGCTCATTATACCACGGTGTGAGACGGTTTTCCTTATTCTTCTTTAAGCGTAAAGGGCCAACCGTATCTAAAGTGCTAGACAAGAGAGAGTCAATAGTTTCTGTTACACCATCAAGTTTGTCTGAGCTATTGGATTTGCTGAGGAATTGAGACAAGTCAGGAAAATTATTTACAAAGCAGCTTTTTGTGGTAGAAGTGATGGTTCTACCATATTTGTAACAATGAGTTGAATTTGCAGCTTTAGCTATGTGGAGTATACATGAGACTAGATAATGATCCGAGATATCATCACTCTGCTGCAGAATTTCAATGCCATTAAAATCAATTCCATGTGACAGTATTAAATCTAAAGTATGATTACGACAATGAGTAGGCCCTGACACGTGTTGTCTAACCCCAACGACATTCAGAATGTCTATAAATGCTGATCCCAATGCATCTTTTTCATTATCAACATGGATATTAAAATCAGCAACAATTAAGTCTGTATGGTGCCCTGGTGGCCTGTATACAGTAGCCAGTACAAACATCACGGGATTTATCATTGACACGTGTTTCTCTGGGTAATGTTATATGAAGAACTATTACTTAAAACTATTTATACTTGAAATCAGACCTCTGAGAAATACTGAAAATATGAATATAAATTGTAGCAACACCTCCCTCTTTACTTTTTGGATGCAGCTCATGTTTTTAACAGTAATCTTGGGCGGTGGACTCATTTAAAATAAAGTAATCATCTGGTTTTAGCCAGGTTTCTGTCAAACAGAGCACATCTAAGTTATGATCTGTGATCATATCATTTAGAAAAAGTGTCTAAATCTAATATTCATTAAGCCAAGCTTTATCATTTGTTTATCTGTATTATATTTGTTTTTTGTTTATCATCAATTAAATTGTTACCCTTAAATTGTTTTGGACGCTTTTTTGTATTTGCTAGTTCAGGGAACAGACACAGTCTTTATAGTATGATATCTAGGTGAAAGAGTCTCTATGGGCTGAGAATTAACTGACTTCTGTGACATGTGGCGGCTAAAAGACAGTCGGTTTAGCCAGTATGTCTGCTTCCTGACCTGAGCCCCAGTTAGTCAAGTGCAAACTCTAAGACTATGTGCCATATTTCTAGAGAGAAGAGCGGCACCACCCCAGTAGGGATGAAGACCATCTCTTTTCAACAGGTCAGGTGTACCCCAAAAACTCGGCCAATTGTCTATGAAATAAATTTTATTCTGCGAGCACCACTTAGACATCCAGCCATTGAGTGATGACAGTTTGCTATGTATCTCATCGCCACGGTAAGCAGGGAGAGGACCAGAGCATATTACAGTGTCAGACATCCTACATGCAAGTTCACACACCTCTTAAAGTTATTTTTAGTGATCTCCGACTGGCGAAGTCGAACATCATTAGCGCCAACGTGAATAACAATCTTACTGAATTTGCGTTCAGCATAAGCCAGCACTTTCAAAATGCAGCTGAAAAAAAATGCAGTAATATCAATAAACCTAAGTCAAATAAAAAAATATGAAATTAATGAATTTCACTCAACTATTAGTGAAAGTTCATTGCACTTATAAGAAAATAGTTGTGTAAACTCAGAGAATAAATGTTAAAATGATTTAGCGTCTGCTTGTTTGTTGTTGTTTGTTTTGTTTTTGAATATGAGGAAGATCTGTGATTAATGTTCTGTTGTGTGGGGTTTAATATAGTTTCTGTTGAGTTTTGTGGGTTGCAAATGTGCTGTAGAATAAAGTCTGTGTTTAGCTTGAGGACGGACTAAAACATGTTGATGTTCTCCTGCTGTAACAGATCGACCAGGCTCTGCCACCACCCAATCACAACAATCCCTCTCACCTGAGTTCTAAGCACCCGCACCTGTCACCAATCAAGCACCTCATTACCAGCCTGCATAAAAGCACACACCTCAGACACCCTCACTGTCCGGTCTCGTTCATACGTAGAGGACTCACTGACTTTGCTACTGATTACCTTTGAATACTTCGTGCATTACTTCACGGACCTTTCCCTCACCCTCACTTCCTCCGGACTACACCAGTACTCACTGTGACCAACAATAAACACTTGTGTATACACTAACCTGTTGTGTCAAGCCTCTTCCGTAACAGAAGACCGGACCGACACTGACGGCACAGATGAGTTACCCCGATCCTTTCCAGGAGCTCATAGACTCGCTACAGCGAGTGCTACGAGATCCACCGGCACCGCCGCCATCACCACCCATCACCTCTTCCATCCCAACCAGCATTTCTTCGCCTACCACCATCGCTAGTCCCATGGCCCGACCGGCGCCCTACTCTGGTTCGGCGGAGGAGTGCAACGGATTTCTCCTCCAGTGCAATCTCACCTTTAAAATGCAACCACATTCATACCCCACCGACACCTCTAAAATTGCTTTTATTATCTCCCTGCTAGTCTCCCCACGGCCCTAGAAACTGCTGAGCTGCTATTCAATCACGTCTTCCGATACCATGGACTTCCTGAAGACATTGTCTCCGACCGGGGACACCAGTTTATCTCCAAGGTATGGAATGCCTTTAACCTCCTAGGTGTGACCGTAAGCCTCTCGTCCGGATACCATCCCCAATCGAATGGTCAGACGGAGAGGAAGATTCAGGAGGTGGGGCGATTCTTAAGAACCTTCTGCCATGGCCACCAGGATTCCTGGAACCAGTTCCTGGGCTGGGCCGAGTACGCCCAGAATTCCCTGCGAAATAAACACTTGTATATACACTAACCTGTTGTGTCAAGCCTCTTCCGTAACACCGGCGTGTTAATTTTGCATGAAGAAATATTATTTGTTCAGTTCACAATGTACTGACAACATAAATATTAGTTTTTGAACTTAAATGGTTTGAATCAATTTACAGTGATTGTAGCATTCCCTGCTGAACAGATGCAGTTTACTCTCAGGAACTGATGTTTATAAAGGATTTAATTTCCAAAAAAAAAACTGTAAGAGCTGAATAAAAACAAACAAACAATTAGTCATTACACATCTAATGCCTGCAAATTGTATACATGTTCATGACAAACCTATAAGCTAACAAATACACATTTGCAATCTAATTGGCCTACAAAATAAATCACATTTTTAGTATAAAGGCTAATGTAATAACCTTGCCTTACTATACTGTAGTAAGCCTGAATAATATGAATTATTTTAACTGACAGTAACAATCATTAATGGAGATAAAGGTGTGTGTTCAGTGTTCACTCTGTGTGTGTGTGTGTGTGTGTGTGTGTGTGTGTATACCTGTTTTTCTATTCTGGTGGGGACTTAAACCTGAATACACACAGACTCATGGTGACTCGTGTCACGGTGGGGACCTAAATTGAGATCCCCATGGGTAAACAAGCTAATAAATCACACATAATTAATTTTTTTGAAAATCTAAAAATGCACAAAGTTTCCTGTGAGGGGTAGGTTTAGGGGTAGGGTCGGTGTAGGGCAATAGAATAGACGGTCTGTACAGTAGAAAAACAATTATACATATGGAGAGTCCCCACAAGTATAGCTGCACTGTAAAAAAAAAATCTGTAGTTTTTACAAAATAATTTTGGCAGCTGTGGTTGCCAGAATAATTTTGTAAAAAATACAGAAAAACTATTAACACATTTACGGCCAAAAAACGTAAATTTTACAATATAAAACTGTAATTTACAAACAAGAAAATTTGAATGTAAACCAGTAAATTCAACAATGCACACTGCTATTAAAATCTGTTTTGTACCTTTAACATACTGACAACCACCATAATAATGCAGGTGGTAAAAGAGAAAGCCACATGAAGAATCAAAGCTCATCACAAGTAGCTTCGCCACAAGCAGAAGTATATACTAATATATAGAAGGTGCACAGAGTCATTCATGCAAACACATAACACCATCATGGTAACACACATGATACTTAAATAATGCATTAAACTTTCATTAAACAACAGAACATGTAACATAAAGCCCAAATATACATAACTAATAACAAAAACTATTAAAAAAGCATGATTATTTAAACAAAATACTTTCAAATGTGGAGTGTCATGCAGGGAATTCTGGTAATATCAGTTTACAGTTTTTGACTGTAAATTATACATTGATTTGTTATTTTTACTTCTAAAAACTGTAAAATTAACAGCATTTTACTGTAAAATGTCTAGTTAGATATTTTACTGTTTTTCCCTGTATATAGTACGGGAACTTACTGTTAACCTATTAACAGTTTTTTTCTGTAGCGTTTTTATGAAATGTTACAGTTAAAATTACGCTTATTTTTTACAGTGTGACCAGACAAGTGTGTGTGTGTGTGTGTGTGTGTGTTCACTACTCACTGCTGTGTGTGTGCACTTGGATGAGTTAAATGCATAGCACAAATTCTGAGTATGGGACACCATACAGTACTTCACCACACATCAGGTCCTTTCCTTCCTTCCTTAACAAATAACATCATTGTTTTCCATTGAATGAATGAATGAATGAATGAATTACCAATAACACATATAAATGAACTCAACACTGCATCACTGTCCACTCACAGATAAACTGCAGCCGACTCTGACTGTAAATCCTCAGAGTTCAGCGTTCACTGGAGACACAGTTACTCTGAGCTGTGATGTGAGACAGTCAACTGGATGGACAATTCACTGGAAAAAAGACTCAGACCCTGAATCCATGGGTGATGCAACTAAAATAATCAAGTATGTGAGCGTCTCTGCTGGAGGAAGATACTGGTGCAGAGCACAACGAGGAGAATACTACAGCGAGTACAGTAGTGCAGTTGAGATAACAGTAAGAGGTCAGCGCTCTTTTACTTTCTATACTTTTTTCAATGGAAGACAACTTGATGTGTTTGTTATAAACATGACAGTTGCTGTCATACATTAACAATGCACAGTCACTAACGCTGAATGTCAAATTAGAAAAAAAAAAAACATTAAGGTTTCACAAATCATCTAAAATATATTGTTTGGTCATTTCACAGTGAGACCCAAACCTGTAGTTCATGTTCATCCTGATGAAAATGTGTTCAGAGGAGAGACGGTCACTCTCACATGTGACATACAGGAGACAGGTGACTGGCAGTACAGCTGGTATAAAGAAAAACAAGAAGTTTACGACACAAGACATAAACAGATCTATAAAATCCCATCAGTGTATTGGTCTTATGGAGGTGTGTACAGCTGTGGAGGAGTTCAGTCAAGAGACCCGCAGTACTCACAGATGAGTGATGGAGTCACACTGACAGTATCAGGTGAGTGTGTTCATCTTCTCCTCACATCATTCCAACACAAACAGGTTGAGTAGATAACAGGTAAACCTGATCTTAGTTGGTCTCACCTATAACGCTGCTAGTCTGATTGTGTTCTAGTTAAGAGTTTGTAACAGATATTGGATCAGCTGTGAGCACAGTGACCGAGAATATTAATCTGTTTATGATCACAAAAGACAACAGTCTCAATAAGTACGTGTTTACAGAGGCGAACCAAGATGAAGTGGGGGCCCCAGGCAAAATTAATAGATGAGGCCATTCTAAAAGATTATTTTGTTAATATATCTTTGTTACCTATATATATATATATATTTATACAACATACAAAAAGTGGTTAAAACACATTTAATAGAACATAAATTTCAATCTTTATGGCAGAAGATACAATACAATCTTGAAAATACAGTACAATCTTCATATTCAAAGTAACAGATTGTCACCTTAAAAATGGTGCTTACGAGCCTTAGCTACAGCAAATGCTGTCACTATGTCCTTCATATCCAAAGACCTTCATATGTTCCGTTCAATTGAAATTAGTGCCAGCTGCTGACAGCCTCTTGGTTCATTGTTGACCTGAGGTATGTTTTTATCAGCTTTACTAGTTTTATTAGTTGACAACTAATTATGTTAACTCAACTAATTTAACGTAGAAATGCTAAATAAATAATGTAATGATATTTATTTATATTGATTTGTGGGCTCCCCACTGGCAGCAACACACAGTACCCAGGGATGCAAACTAATCATGGGTGACAAAGACGAGCACCCCCCCCCGAGCACCCCCCCCTACACAAACAGCGGTAATATGAAATATTGTTACAATTTAAAACAGCGGTTTTGCACAGTCATGGCCAAAATTCTCATTGTTAATTTTAGCAGTGACAAATGTGTTTTGCAAAGTTTGCTGCTTCAGTATTTGTAGATTATTTTTCCACGTTTTGATGGTATACTGAAAAACATGGATAAGCATATCATAGGTTTTAAAGGCTTTCATTGGCAAAAAAAATAAAAATAGAATGAGTCAATATTTACAGTGTTGACCCTTGTTCTTCATAGCCTCTGCAATTTGCTCTGGCATGCTGGATATTAGATTCTGGGCCAAATTCTGACTGATGGCGATCCATTCTTGCCGTATTAGTTCTTAGAGTTGATCACAATTTGTGGGCTTCTGCTTGTCCACTCGCCTTTTGAGGACTGACCACAGGTTCTCTATGGGATTGAGATCCGGGGAGTTGCCTGGCCACGGATCCACAATTTCAATGTAATGATCTTCGAGCCACTTCTTTATCACTCTTGCTTTGTGACATGGTGCTCCATCATGCTGGTAAATGCACGGATCACCAAATTGCTCATGGATCGTTGAAAGTCGCTCTTGCAGGACGTTTTGATACCATTCTTTATTCTGGCACAACACAGGACTCATGGTAGCGTTCACCTTTTCTTCTCCGAAAAATCGATTTTCTAGATGTCCCAAACAGTCAGAAGGGAGCTTAACCAGAGAAAATATCTTTGCACCAGTCTTCTGCTGTTCAGTCCTTGTACTTCCTGCAGAATTTCAGTCTGTCCTTCTTTCTTGGAGAGAAGTGGCTTCTTAACTGCCCTTCTTGACACCAGGCCGTTGTCCAAAACTCTTGGCCTCATTGTGTGTGCAGATGCTCTCACACCAACCTGCTGCCATTCCTGAGCAAGCTCTGCACTGCTGGACGCACAAATCCGTAGCTGACTCCTCAGGAGGAGACGGTCCTGCCGCTTGCTGGACACTCTGGGACGTCCTGAAGACTTCTTCACTGCAGTCAAACCTCTCTCCTTAAAGTTCTTGATGATCCGGTAAATGGCTCTTTCAGGTGCAATATTCTTTGTAGCAATTTCCTTGTATATGAGGCCATTTTGATGCAAAGAGATGATGGCTGCACATGTTTCTTTAGAGGTAACCGTTGCTAACAAGAACACAATGATTGGAAGCGCTTCTTCCCTCCTTTTATAGCAATCAGTCTGCTCTTACAGTCTAATTAGTATGATAGTGATTTCACCTGACTAGTACTCATTCACACTTTCACATGTGCTGCTGATATGATTAGTCAATTAATGTTAGCTGGTCATTTTGTGTCAGGATCAAAAAACTGTGAT